CTTCAAGGTCAGACTTGGTTTTAGTGGTTGTTCAATTTCAGACTCAATTTTAATGGTTCCCACAAGGCCAGGTTTGGTCTTAATGGTTCTTACAAGGTCAGGTTCAATCGTCATCATTCTATTAAGGTCAGGCTTGGTCTCAACAATTCTTACAAGGTCAGGCTCAATGCCTAGTGGTTCTAACTCCTCTTAGTGGCCTGGATCCATTGTTGGAGACCTGATTAAGTTCCTTAATACGGAAATGGTCATTCCATCTGTAGCAACAGTAACAATCACTCTGTATTTCCTCGACAGACAGAGACGTTCCTTCATGTAACTGAGCGAACTGTCAATGCAACTGGAAAATGCAACCAATAATTATTGACCACAGGATGAATATTTTAGTTGCTATATGCTGCTCAGTCAATACTTCAGTCAATGCAGTTTTGAAACAGATAAACTTACTAAACTGGGCCAAATTCGACAGCGCAACCTCAGCACTTAGATTGTCATCTCTGTGTTGAAGTATGGGAGTTAGGATCTTAAGATTGTCATGTCTGTGTTGAAGTATGGGTCATCGTAGCACTTAGTTAGGATCATCGTAGCACTTAGATTGTCATGTCTGTGTTGAAGTATGGGAGTTAGGATCATCGTAGCACTAAGATTACTTTGTCAGGAACTAGATCCAACTTAGAAGCTAGGGTAACTTGAAATTTGTGCGGACATGTATATATCATGTGTCTTCAAGTAATAGCGGATATATTGATGTTAATGTCAATGTGGTGACTTTGTGTCAAGAAAATATTGCTGCTTAATACATTTGCTCTTTATGTTAATTGTGTGGCTGTCAACACTGAGCTTGTGTTAGCCTTTGTGGGTCAGGTTTATGGCTGTGTTGTGACATACTGATTATTGTCAGGTCACAACTAGAATTAACAGTGTGCCTGTTTGTGGCAGTAGTCACAGTTCAACCTATAGTCTGACTCGCATTACCTGACACAGGTATTGACAGTTACTCTGTTATTGATTAAGGAGAGAGTCTAATATTGTTTTGCATGTTTACTTGTATGGTAGTCCATGCCATAAAAATGTTCCATATATGAGCCGTGCAGACTTATCCTGTCTTTCAAAGACTCTTTGGGGCGGTGGGGTAGCCTAGTGGTTAAAGCGTTGGCTCGTCACGCCGAAGACCCGGGTTCGATTCCCCACATGGGCACAATGTGTTAAGCCCATTTCTGGTGTCCCCCGCCGTGATATTGCTGGAATATTGCTAAAAGCGGCGTAAAACTAAACTCAGTCAGTCAGTCAGTCAAAGACTCTTTATTTGGTATTGTATCTTAAGCATATGGATTATTGCTAGCTGAACATAATGTCCCAAAATAGATGTAAGTAAACTCACGATTTTAACTTGTGGCTAAAGTCGAACTGGAGTAGGTAATTTACAACTTATAAAAAGCTACTTCACTAAAGTTCAACTATCATTTTTATTCATCATTTTCATTTACTTCCTTGTTCTGTGTAATTGTGAAGGATCCTTGGTATCCTAAATTCTCCAAAGGAGAAAAGGTACAGGTATGTCCACTTTGACAAGGTTAACAGACAGTTATGTTGTCTGCTTGTGTAGTCATGGAATTAAGCATGAAGTACTAAGTGGTCACATGGTTCTAAGTAAACACACCCTGGAGTTTTCATGAGCTAGTCATATATAAACAGGTAGAAAAATAAGGTAAATAATTCTACCACTTTGTACTGTAGTGTCAGGTGAACATACAATTCAAATATTTCAGCCTAATCCAGTCTGCCAATGGTAGGCATGGTGGCTGCTGTTCAGGGTAGCATCATCATCACAAGCAGGTGCTTGATGTGATGAAGCATTTGTGTAACAGTAGTACATGAGTGTGGGAACAAGGTGTGTGGGGGAACAAGGTGTGTGGGGAACAAGGTGTGTGGGGCAACAAGGTGTGTGGGAGAACAAGGTGTGTGGGGGAACAAGGTGTGTGGGGCAACAAGGTGTGTGGGGAACAAGGTATGTGGGGGAACAAGGTGTGTGGGGCAACAAGGTGTAGGTAACGGTAGTGGAAATCAATGGTGGAGTCAGCTGTCCTTATCCTGCAGCCAGTCAGTGATGAGGGCAGGTGGGATCAATACTCTCACTGTGGGCAATAGCGTGCCTCCAGACTCCACCACATCATGACCTCCAGTCAGTTCTCTGCAATATACACCCTGTTATAGAAGAAAAACAAAGAAGAAAATTATTTTGCTTACAGTGTCACATGTTACAGTTGAAGGGGCGGTGGGGTAGCCTAGTGGTTAAAGCGTTTGCTTGTCACGCCGGAGACCCGGGTTCGATTCCCCACATGGGCACAATGTGTGAAGCCCATTTCTGGTGTCCCCGCCGTGATATTGCTGGAATATTGCTAAAAGCGGCGTAAAACTAAACTCAGTCAGCTGTTACAGTTGAAATATTTGCAAATATAAAAGCATTGTAAAAGTAACATCCGACCTATAGGCCTACGAGACTTTTGTACAAAAATGTTATAAATACATTGATTCCAACATGGGTGATATTTTGTCCCAATAAAAATTTCATGGGGAAGAGATGTGGGATGGTGTATGAAAAAGGACACTGTTGGTCCATCTGTCTGTACTAAAGTTGACATCTGTCATATTTCCTTTTTAAAACTGTACAGTATTGTTTTCACTAGATTTGGCACATATATTGGTCTTTTTGGTGATTGATTTGTGAGTTTGCCATGATTTATGAGTTTCCATGGCAATGATCTTAAATGAAAAAGGCAATAGTGCTCATCTAGAGAAGATCTTGAAAACTGTATGATATGTCTTCTCCAAACTTGGCACATAGAGATTCGTCCGATGGTGAATTGATGCCTTTGCACAGTTAAGGAGTTTTGAAGAATTTGTTTTCGAGTTTCCATAGCAACAACTGTGACATAGACTCAAAATAACAATGTCTCAAGGGGATATAAAAAACTTTATTTCTCAGGTCTCCATGGCAATAAATTTCATGTATGTGTTCATGAAACACATTTACCATTACAAGGGACATGGATGACTTTGTCCTCTTGTTGATATTGCACACATCTGCAGTTGATATGCAGCTGTTTATATACCAGCAGAGATTCTGTAAGCTTATTCCATGGGGAATACGACCTGCTGTGCAGGTAGTCCAGTAGTTTAAGCTGATTGATCACCATTAATCTCTTGACATAGGCTTACTTGTGTATTTACAGTTTAACTGATGTTCAATATTCAACAAGGTGGTCCTCATGGCATGTGCAGGATTTCGTGTCTGTTCGCTGCACTTAATGCAGCCGTATGACAGTGGCTGATAAATAATCAAATCTAGGGCAAGTCAAGACCAGCGATTGATAATTTTGAACAACGATCCACGTCACTAGGGTACAATGACACTGTCAGCCAAGCCTACCTGATCTATTTTGTTGCCTTTTATTGCAAGCATAATCTCTGAAACCCATTTGTTGTGATTAAATTTCATATCAGTCAATAGAATTAACATTACAAATAAGTCAGCAGAATTGACAACACAAAAAGAGTATTTGAAATTAAACTAATAAAAGAATTGAAGTATTTAGAAGAATAAAACCACTATGTCAACTTCGCTATTGTGGGGAACATTACGTTTTGGATTATATTCTCATTCCTTAATCTACCAGTAAAAATAAACTCCAAAACGTCATATTCCTCATAATTCAGAAGTTACCATCCATGTATTTCCCTTTATCTATTTATCACTTCTAAATGTCATTCAAAGACATTTCCACTTTGTTTATATTTAATATCATTCAGTAATTCAGTGGAAGGATGCATTATAAGAAGGTTTATTTGATAATGATAAACTTACCTATTTAACATGTTTAAGAATGTCTAGACTTTATGGTTATGAGTATTTAGTCTTATCTAGCTCCATCTTAGACATTGTTCTCCGTCAGGTGGAAGAAAGTGGTAAACAGCTTTGTCATCAAGGTCAGATGTAAAGGGATGTTGTCAGTCAGCCGGGTGGCACATTAGGACAGGTGTTAGATTGCCCTAATTGTGTCCTAATTACCAGGTCTGTCCTAGGTACTTATATTACTCCCTGCTGTCTGAATCCAAGTAGCAATATTAGTCACATTAAGAAAAAGATGAGACCGATGAAGTTGTCACAAGCCATATCTTTTCCGGTCTTTCTGTCACACAGTAGGGAAGCTGATATCTCTGTGCTGAGGTCAGACAGAATATTGGCAGCTGAGTTGGGGGGAAGAGTCTCGCCATTGGTGGAACCTCAGTTAAAGAACTACAAGTGCTACAATATTAGTTAGGAAGAAAGTAGTGGTTGATGATCAGGGTATGATTTGAAGAATGTATTGTTTGTCCAAGATTCACACTGGCCATACTACTTAACTACATTCAAGCAAACCACTGTTGCCATCCTTGGAAGGGTTGTTCATGTGACAGTATTGAAGCTGACAGGTGCTACCAAGCCTTATCAGTTTTCATAACCTGATATAGCCTAACTGTCACTGAGACCAAGGGATGCCAGCACTGGTCAATATCACTGCTTATCACATATCACATGACTTCCAGAATAATGCTATGTAGCCTGTTGGAGTTTATGCATAGACTTTAACTCTCAATGTTGGTTCTACATAGTATGTAGCTTGGAAGAATTGCTGATGCGGCATTAAGCAACATTTACTCGCTCACCCTAGTTTTCATAAGCAGAGAGGACCTGGGTATAAACATTTTATCTCAGATTAAGCTTTTGATTGTCTGTGAAATTTTTGTAGAGACTTGTAAATTTAGAATATGGAATTCCTGCCGTGAGTGTTACATTGTGTTTCTGGTTTATGTATTAACTGCATTCAGCCAGTGCTACCCCAGCCAACAGGCATCACTTTGTTGAGTCTGTGTGACATGTTTGTACATCCACAGATATACACATGATACATGCACACATTTCATGTGATATAGTTGCTGACAATGCTGTTTTGTACTTGCAGCCCCACCCCACAACTGAAGATGAGTGGGCCTCCAGGCAGGTGAGTACTGACACTTTTATATGGCAGGTGTTGAAGATAAAATTATTGTGGATCATGTCAGATAAGTCTACAGGGTTCAGTATGCATAGTTGCTTCCTTAGGTGTGCTTGTAGCCTGTGATTGTGGGTTTGAATCCAATGTTTCTTGGTCGGCCCCATACCCATGCTCACGGATTATACCCCGATGTGGTGATCATCTTGGACCTGTGTTATCTCAGGCTTTCCTCCCACATCTAGCTGACACACCATGTATCACGGATTATACCCCGATGTGGTGATCATCTTGGACCTGTGTTATCTCAGGCTTTCCTCCCACATCTAGCTGACACACCATGTATCACTGGTTATACCCCGATGTGGTGATCATCTTGGACCTGTGTTATCTCAGGCTTTCCTCCCACATCTAGCTGACACACCATGTATCACTGGTTATACCCCGATGTGGTGATCATCTTGGACCTGTGTTATCTCAGGCTTTCCTCCCACATCTAGCTGACACACCATGTATCACGGGTTATACCCCGAGGTGGTGATCATCTTGGACCTGTGTTATCTCAGGCTTTCCTCCCACATCTAGCTGACACACCATGTATCACGGGTTATACCCTGATGTGGTGATAATCTTGGACCTGTTTTATCTCAGGCTTTTTTCCCACATCTAGCTGACACACCATGTATCACGTGTTATACCCTGATGTGGTGATCATCTTGGACCTGTTTTATCTCAGGCTTTCTCCCACATCTAGCTGACACACCATGTATCACTGGTTTATTTTCAGTGCAGTGTTAAACCCAGCTAACTCAGGTTACAGCTCTAGTAGATTCAGGTAATCATGACATTGTAACCTGTCAATAACACCTTGTTACAGGTGTGATATACCCAGGTAATCATGATATTTTTAACTGTAAACTGCCACCTTGTTACAGGTGTAATGTATCATTGGTAATAATGACATTGTAACCTGTCAATGTCACCTTGTTACAGGTGTGATATATCCAGGTAATCATGACATTGTAACCTGTCAATAACACCTTGTTACAGGTGTGATATATCCAGGTAATCATGACATTGTAACCTGTCAATGACACCTTGTTACAGGTGTGATATATCCAGGTAATCATGACATTGTAACCTGTCAACAACACCTCGTTACAGGTATGATATATATCCAGGTAATCAGAACACTGTTACCTAGCCGTTTATCACTCTTATTTACATGAATTAAGGACTGTAGTCACTAGTGTTTGTCTGAAAGTTAGTATTGCTTGTACCTGTAGTTTCTTTTGAGCAACTTTGTCTCAGTCTACCATCTTACATGTAAGAGTTTACCAAGTACTGAACCACATGTCTTGTTGCAGCATCAGCGATGACTATGCCTCCACCAAACTGGAGACACAGGTGAGCAGATTACTTTGACTTGTTCTGTAACATAATGTGCTTCCCTGAGAGACTTGAGGTAGTTCTGTAAAGAATGTTTGTTTTTTTAGGTTTTATATTTAGTCTCTCCATGTGTTGTACACATCATGGAATTCACCTCGTTATTCTCGTATCTCGAATCTTGAATTCTTATAGTTTGCAGTATCTTCTCATCACGTATTCAAAATACAACTTATCGACCAAAGGCTGTTTTTGTCATGGCTACGTGGTTATTCAGCATCAATTATTAAAGAACAGATGACAAAATTTGTTTTGTAAGCATGCTGATGTTAAGTCATCACCAGGAGTAGAGTAACGTAAGATGTAACATGACCTGTATTTAATGAGTCAGATTTAGAGGATTCGTCTATATTTATCTTTTCTACATTACTTTTGCCCTTTTAAGAAATAAATGTGTCAAAATTATCTACAAAAACTTGTCAAAATCTTATGTATCATGCATAGTGATATATGTTTACCATTGCTTTGTACACCAAATATTCATTCGCTGAGAAGTATAGTTCCTCAGATTGTTTATAAAAATTATTTTAACAGAGTTTTTCAGAATATTTTAAAATTTAATAATGGTAACAACAATGATCCTGTGTCATCTAATTATACATCCGGTATAATTTCACTGATACTCACTATATTCTTAAGATCACTGCATCAGAGTTCATCTCGTTATATTATCGGGTACGTTTTAACTAAATCACCGGTAGGGAAATGTGTGCACTGCACAGCTGATTGCTATTTCTGGCGCTGTAGACGAGACAATTACACATGGTAATCTTAACCCTGCATATAAGACAATGCCAAGCAAAAACAAATTAGCACTGAATAGGTAAATTATCTTGTCTAGTGATGTTTAATTGCAAATTTGACGTCTTTACTGACAAAGTCGTCCTCTATTGATTGTTTGTTCACGTGAAGTTATACGATGTCGTTTTCTTAGCCCCTGAAAAAAGGTTTGACGAAAGTGTTACCCATAGATAAGCCGACCACCTTCTACAGACTGCTTTTTTGGGTCCTCAAAATTCAACTTATCTATGGTAATATTCAGTAGTTTTCAAATCAAACCGTGCTCTTAACCAAAAAGACGCACTTCCAGTAATCTAATTTGCATATTTATGTCAATGAGGTATGAATTACCTGTGTTTATGTCATAAGCTTATGTCATAGTTAAATGCTTTAGTTAAATAATAAATCCACATTAAGTCTTATCTGTATTTTATATATAACATTAGATGTTACTACCCGTGTTGTAATGTACCATTTAGGCATGGCCTGTGTTATTTTCTTATATTCAAATGCCTTACCTGTATCTCCCAGGAAATACCTTATAGCTGTGTAACAAAAAGACAGCATTGTTCTTACGTTAAGGCAGCTTAATGTGAGTGTTGAGACTGTGTAAGGTGTCTGTAATTTGCTGGGTCGGCATATCGATTCTATTGCTGTTGCTACTTGTAAATCTCTCCAGTTCTTCTGTAGCCTCACAAAAAGCCTGATGACTGAATACTTTCCTGCCTTTATAAAATATCTGCTATGGTTCTGTGAGTGTTTGTGCGTGTTTATGTAATCAGCTGTAGGTATTGATTTCAGCACACAGATTGTTCCTCCATTCCCAGAGAGTATAATACCACTATATTCAGCAGTTGTGCTCAGCTTCTGTTAATCAAATTCAACCAGTTTCTATAGCTATAGCAATCATCTAAGATTCAGGTAGCGTTGTTGTTCAGAATGTTCTGGTATTTAGTTCTGCTTTGGGTAGTTCAGGCTTGTCTGTTGTTGAGATGTTGCAGATAAAGCTGCATAAAATGCCCAGCCTTTGACCCAGTCAAAACCTGCTGTACCTACTCACCTAAACTAATGCTAAATCTCTGAATATATAATTTTGATAGTAACAAACAAACCCATGTAAATTGAAAAGGAGCCCTGGTGAGTTTGGAGATTCAGAACCTGGGAAATCTAGACTTGCTTCTTTGGGAGTTTATCATTGCAGGAGAGCAGGCAGTAGGAAAATTATGTGGTTCAGGACTGTGAGACAGACTACTACTCACCCTAATACAAATGCTATAAATAATAGAAGATTTCAATCATAAATGGGGTCTTCTTCCAAGCACTTTGATGAATTTAAAATGTACCCAATTTACCTGAGGTCATATTTCTCTTTTATTGACTTATATATGTGTATTAACATGATATTGACATAGTACCTGTACATCATCCATCTGTCTGTACATCACTGTTCTTACATACAACATTGTAATCCTGGGAACCCCCAAAAATGCTATAAATACCAACAATGTCTTATTTTTTCTACCCATCACAACTGTCAGCAGACCCACCATATTTACACCAATGCAACATTACCAACAACATCCAGACTGTCACCATCATCATATACAATAAACTATGGTCATGATGAACACATCTATAACAAACTTGCAGATATGATGAACTAAGTGGGGTTCTTGGTCCTAGCCACATGCTCTATATTTTTGTGAAAATGTGTCAAGCAAACTAAAAGTAGCTGTCAATAGGGAGGTTGTTATAACTGTAGGTTACTGAAGATGGAATGTTAGAATTAGACAGCAACAACATTAACGATAAATCAAAGAGCATGGTTATGATCACATGCAGATTCTGTCCCCTCGTCATCCCCCATTGTCTGTCAATGAACATCAGTATGTTCGTCATGAGATTCATATTAATCATAATCTGTCCCCTCGTCATCCCCCATTGTCTGTCAATGAACATCAGTATGTTTGTCATGAGATGCAGATTCTGTCCCCTCGTCATCCCCCATTGTCTGTCAAAGAGCTTCAGTATGTTTGTCATGACATGCAGATTCTGTCCCTCGTCATCCCCCATTGTCTGTCAAAGAGCTTCAGTATGTTTGTCATGACATGCAGATTCTGTCCCTCATCATCCCCATTGTCTGTCAAAGAGCTTCAGTATGTTTGTCACGAGATGCAGATTCTGTCCTCGGCATCCCCATTGTCTGTCAAAGAGCTTCTAGTATGTTAGCTATGAGATGCAGATTCTGTCCTCAGTCATCCCCATTGTCTGTCAAAGAGCTTCAGTATGTTTGTCATGAGATGCAGATTCTGTCCCCTCCTCATCCCCCATTGTCTGTCAAAGAGCTTCAGTATGTTTGTCATGACATGCAGATTCTGTCCCCTCATCATCCCCCATTGTCTGTCAAAGAGCTTCAGTATGTTTGTCATGACATGCAGATTCTGTCCCTCATCATCCCCCATTGTCTGTCAAAGAGCTTCAGTATGTTTGTCATGACATGCAGATTCTGTCCCCTCATCATCCCCCATTGTCTGTCAAAGAGCTTCAGTATGTTTGTCATGACATGCAGATTCTGTCCCTCATCATCCCCCATTGTCTGTCAAAGAGCTTCAGTATGTTTGTCATGACATGCAGATTCTGTCCTCATCATCCCCATTGTCTGTCAAAGAGCTTCAGTATGTTCGCTATGACATGCAGATTCTGTCCCTCATCATCCCCCATTGTCTGTCAAAGAGCTTCAGTATGTTTGTCATGACATGCAGATTCTGTCCTCATCATCATCC